ATCCGAAGACCCAAAACCCCAAAGGCCCCAAGACGCGATGTTGGTCTTACGGTTTAACTTGGTGCCCAGGGTTTAGACTTGAAGTCTCAGCCCCTACAAAGTCGGAGACAGCGGAACCCCTGTGTTGCACCAATGAGGGTTTAGGGTTTAGGGTTTAGGGTTTAGGCTGAAAACCTCATACTCTCAGAATCCGAAATTCCGTGTTCCAAGAACCCTAGATTAAGGCATCCGAAAGCCCTCCCTACTTCGACTGAAAAGCCCAAAATCGACGGGCTTGAGCTCGTTCCGAGGCCCGAGAAAGCCAGGGCTCCGTCCAAGGAAAGCCCATAAAGGGCATTCAGCGCCTGTGGACTGCGTGTTCATCAGGGTTTCTCCTTTTACGTCTTCAGGCGTTCAGGTTCAAGAGAGTCTACTGTTGCAAAAGCTTTGGAATATCATCATTTGAAGCAGCCCTGAACTGCCCCAAAGAACCGGCAATGAACTAAAGATTGAAGATCTTGCAGTTCACGTGACAGGACTGCAGAAGCTCCAAAGGGCGTGACGCAGCGGCCAAGCCCGGCACAAGGACGCCTCCAGCGCCCTGGCGCAGGCCGAAACAGCCAAGGACCTTTGCTCTTCCATCGATAGCTCAGGGTTTAGGGTTAAGGGTTTAGGCTTTAGGGTTTAGGCTTTAGGCTTTAGGGTTTAGGCTTTAGGTTTAAGGTTTAGGGTTTAGGACGTACCACTTACCCGAAAGGGGTTCCGAAAAGGACCAACTACCGGAGCTTCGGCTTAGCGACTCAGGGCTTAGGGCACCTAAGCCCTAAACCCCTAAACCCTAAACGCCAAACCCCTCAACCTTATGCCCTAAACCCTAAACCCCACACCCTAAAGCCCTAAACCTTACCCCACACCCTAAAACCCCACACCCTAAAACCCCAAACCCCAAACCCTAAACCCTTGCACGCTCAGCTGACTTTAGGCTTCATGGCTTCGGAGTCCGAAGGTTTGGAGCTTTCGGTTCAAGGCTTCGGGTTTCGAAGTAGAGTTTAGGGCTTAGAGGCTTCGAGTTTAAAGGTTTAGAAGTGTAAGGGTTGGTTTAGGGTTTAGGGGTTCAGGGGTTTAGGAGTTTGGGGCTTAGGGTTTAGAGCTTTAGAGGTTTGGTTGTTTAGGTTTTGAGGTTTAGGGGTTGAAGGTTTAGGAGTTTAGGGGTTGAGGGTACAAGGCTTCGGGTCAAAGGTGAACCGTCGGAAGGCGAGATCCTACGACTCAAAACCTCCAAAGCCCAAAGTTGCAAAGACGCCAAACCAAAGAAGCAGCGCACGACCGAGCCGGCGCTGGGTGCATGACGTGTGTTGCTGGATGACCTGGGCCACAAAACATCTGGGGGTGTCCGAAAACAGGGGACCCTAGTAGAGTACCCTAGATAGTGGGATTCTAATTATAAGGACCCCCAAATAAGGTACCTCTTGTTCTCGGAAACTCCCATCTAGCAGGGAGGAGGGAGGGGCGGTTGCCTTGCAAAGCGCCCTACTGCTACACAGATTCCTCCTTCCATGCCGCGACTATGGTCGTAGGGATCTCCTCATTTCAAGAAGCCCTTTCAAAAGCTGGTTTAGGGCTTACCTTAGTTTTTGGGGGGCGTGGGATGACAGGGTTTCGGGCTTACGGCATGGAGACCCTAAACCCTAAATCCTAAACCCTAAACCCTAAACCCGAAGCGCTGTAGTAGTTTAGTGTTTTGGGGCTCAGAGCTCCAGGTTTGGCATTGAGCGTCTTCGGGTTGAGGGTGTCAGGAGGTTTCCTGAGCCCCTAAACTTAAACCTAAAACCCTAAATCCTGTACCCAAAACCTTGAAAACCCTAAACCCCTAAACTTAACCCTAAAACCCTAAATCCTTTACCCAAAGCCCTAAAAATCCCTAGGAACTCATCGGGTCCTCCGACTGGGCAGCCGAAGCCTGAGTTCTCCGCAGATTGGCGGAAAGCACATTTGTCTCCAGTTGCCGAACCTGCTACTGTAGGTTTAGGGTTTAGGGTTTAGGGTTCAGGGTTTAGGGTTTAGGGTTTAGGGTCCAGGGTTTAGGGTTTAGGGGTTGCTTTCAGGGCCCAAAGAGTTTCACGAGGCTGCTTCATGCAGCATTCCTTCGGCGTGGGCTTCTCTACGTGTACCATCGCTCAATTCGTTCAGGGTTAGGGTTTCGGGTTTGGTTGACGTGTTGGGCTAAGTGTTTCAAGTTCTTAGGGTCTGAGGTGTAGCGTTTAGGGTCCAGTGTGCGGTTTTTTCGGTGGTAGTGTCGTAGGATCATCATGGGAATCACGAACGGCAACCTTTCAACCTCTTTTCCCACAGTAGCAGTGCTCCGAAATGATATTATTCGTGCCCTTGTAGTACCCCATAGCACCCTGTACATAGCACCCATAGTAGTACTCCGGTCGTACCCTACAGTAACCCCAGACAACACTGTCAAATTCCCCTTCTATCTCCCCTCATAATAGCCATGAGCCCTAAACCCTAAACCCCAAATCCTAAACCCTAAACCCTAAACCCTCAACCCTAAACCCAACACCCTAAACCCTAAACCCTAAACCCCAAACCCTAAATCCTAAACCCCTAAACCCCTAAACCCCTAAACCCATAAACCCCTACACCCTAAACCCAAAACCCCAAAACCCGCAA